AAGATGTTTTCTTCACCCTTTTGGTGGTTCCGGTGAGTAAACCCATTTTTGCTTTTGAATGGACTGATTCAGGGACTGGAGTAACTGAACAGTTGACTTGGATGTGTTTACCACAGCTTTTAAAACAGCTCCCACTTTATTTAATGAGGGCTTAGCTAAGGACCTGATGTGGTATCTAGAAGTTCTCACACAGGTCATACTTCTGCAATATGTTGATGACTTATTAGTAGCTGATAAAACATTTGAGGATTACAAGGAAGGAATCCAGGCCCTGTTAAATACTTTAAATGATTTGGGCTACAAGGTTTCAGTAAAAAAGCCACAGATATGCCAGCAGAAAGTGACTTACCTGGGATATCAATTACAAGGCAGAAATAGGACCCTTTCAAAAAAGGGGGGTTCAAGTCATCCCACAGATAATGGCATAAAAAACCAAAAAGCAAGTCCCTGAGTTTCTTGGTGCACTTGGATATTGGGGGCTCTGGATGTTAAACTTTGTTGAGATAGCCCAGCCAATACATGACTCTTTAAAAGGGCAAATGCAGGGCCTATTGGAATGGACAGACATGCAAGAGACAGCCTTCTGACAATTGTGGCAGGCCCTAGAATATACCCCTGAACTAGGACTCCCTAACATAAATAAGCCATTTTTCTTGTATTTGGATGAGCTGAGAGGGATTGCAAAGGGAGTAGTGACCCAGGAACTGGGGCCCTGACAGAGTCTAGTAGCCTGTCTCTCCAAGAGGCTGGAGATGTTGGCTGCCAGTTAGCCACCATGTTTAAGGATCATTGCTGTGGTAGGTATGTTGATAAAGGAAACTAAAAAGCTTGCCTTTCTCCTACAGGTCCCTGTAGTAACCTCTCACTGGCATGAGACTATTATCCGGGCCCCTCCAGATCAATGACTATCCGATGCAAGGATAATGCATTACAAAGGACAGCTTTTAGATCCTGAATCTTTTGTTTATAATTCATCAGTGGCCACTCTTCTGCCTGATGATGATCCATCAGACCCGTACCATGAATGCTCCACCTTGATTGACAGCTACCAGAGCCTTCAATCCGATCTGATAGACAAACCTCTATAAGGGGAACCATCATTCTTCTTAGTAGCAGTTACATGTACCAAGGTAAATAAATTTCAGGGGTGAGGTGACCCAGAATTTGTGGGCACAGAGGCTGGACTCTGGCAGTTCTTCTCAGCCTGCTGAACTCATCAGTTTGACAGAAGCCTTAAAACTGGCTGAAGGTAACCAGATTAACATCTACACAGATAGCAGATTTGGTTTTGCTACTGCTCACATACATGGGGCAATTTATCATTAGAGAGTACTATTCACCTCAGCAGGAGATAAAATAAAGAATGCACCACAAATATCAGACATGCTGGGAGCAATTTGGTTACCTGAGAAAATGGCATTCATACATTCCAAGGCCCACAAAAAGGAGATGATCCTGTTACCAGGGGAAGCAATTTGGCTGATATGGCATCCAAAGTAACTGCCGTAAAATCAGTGCAGTCTGAGGAAGGGAATATAAAAGAAACCACTCCTACCCTCTTGCGGATGACTCAAATATTATCAGGACATGTGTATACACAAAAGGACCTCCAGTTGGCTGCCCAGCTCCAGATGAAGCCCGACATTCCAGGAGGCTGGTATCTGTTACCAGATAAGAGAATCTTGCTTCCTGAATTCCTATGAAGAAAGCTCATTCAACAAGCTCATCTGTCCACTCATTTAGGAGGATCAAAACAAGACAAGCTCTTTCAGGATGGATTCTTTATACCTCAGCTGTCCAAATTGACAGCAATAGCCATTTCAACGTGTCCTCAATGCAGATTAGTTAACCCAAAATAGTAGCTCAACATAGAAACTACTTAGGGAACATTCAGGGAACTTCCCCAGTAAGACATTGGGAAATTGACTTTACTGAAATGAAGAAGCTGGGTCTCCAGAGACACAAATACCTGCTAGTGATCATCTATACATTCACTGGGTGGGTATAGGCATTTCCTAACAGGTCAGAATCAACTCTCACAGTGGTTAAAATGCTATCTGAGATCATTCCTGGTTTTGGCTTACCATTATCTATGGGGTCTGACAAAGGCCCATCTTTCATAGCCCAGATAACTCAAAAACTAGCCCAGACCTTACAGATTGTTTGTAATTCATTGCTTGTACCGACCTCAAATCTCAGGGCAAGAAGAATGGAAGAATGAGACATTAAAATATGATTACAAAGCTGTCTCTGGAAACCAATGATAACTAGGTAAGCCTCCTTCCTTTTGCCCTCTTGGGGACTTGATATACTCCTTATGTTTGTGTATATCCTGTTTTGAAGCAATATACGGGAGGCCCCACCTCTCATTTAAAAACTCTCTGTGGAAAAATTTGTGAATTGACTAATCAAAATCTCATTAATTCCCTGTAGGCTCTTCTGCCCATCAACCTCCATACATCTGTTAATCAGGCTGAGACTACTCCTTCCATAGACTTTCACTCAAGTCCAGCATGCTGCTGGAACCTGGTACTCTGGTCCTAGTCAAGCACCACCAATGAAACACCCTTGAGCCTTGCTGGGAGACACCTTAAACCATGTTGTTCTGTTCTCCCACTGCAGTGAATATGGCTGGCAAGATTCTATGGATTCACCACTCCCACATTAAGGTCCTGGATGCCCAAGAGAATGAGTCTTCTCAAGACAATTGGACTCTATAATCAACAGGTAACCCCCTAAAGTTAAAGTCCACCAGGTGCTCTTGACTGAAATAGACATGTATCCCCAAATTGCACTTCTTATATGTGCACTTCTTGATAGTTTCTGTTCCTTCAAAGCCTGTGCATGGACCCAATTGGGGAACTTGGACAATATATGATGAAATTTCTCATAGTATGATTGAAAAATTGATACTGATCAGGCTGCAATTTCCGTAGATTTATGCAAATTGCTCATATATTGAGCTGAGAGACAAAACGATCCTTTCATTGGACTCCCATAAAATTATTGTGGACAGGCCCTCTACTCGACTAAGTTACTCAAGGACACCCAGATATACTTATGCCCTAAGTAATAACCTGATATTTACAGCTCAGCTTACTATAAGGAAATATATTGTTATGCATGGTCCTGTGTAACATGGGAAGTTGGATACCAGTGTGAGAAATATCTTGAAATAATCAAAGTGTGCAACTCCTTCTGCTCTACCAGTGATGCCTGTAACCCTGTCACCTTAGTTTTCCAAAATCCCATGGGTCCCAAATGGAAAACAGGATTAACTTATGGAATCTGCCTATATGTGTCAGACACAGACCCAGGAAACACTTTGAAAATCCAATTCTTGTTCACACTCACCCCTAGGGTCACCCTAGTCCCTAAGACAAAACAGAAAATTCTAGCAACAAAAGGTGCAACAGAGACAAATCCAAACTCCTCTCTTGAAACCCCCCTTATGTCCACCATGTCCCAACCACAGTTAGACCAGTCTTCATCGCTTGAGATAGCCTACCAACTCCTAAATGAAACCCTCATGATAGGAACCTTCATCCCTTGCTGGCTTTGCTTATCCCTGGCACCTCCCTACCTAGAAGGATATGTTAAGACCAATGGTATTTTAAAGGGGTCCACTTCATCTGACCATAAGTACTGGAGTACTCAACCAAATTTTGTTTAGGGAACTTTTCCTGACAGGAGAAAGTGCAACTTGCATATATAAGGAATCCAATAATAAGTTATAATACTTACTTACAATACTAACTATTGTAACTTATCAGCCTCAATCTCCATCAATAGCAGCCACCATAACAAAATCAATTGGCATGTGACCATCCCTGATGGACACTGGTGGGCCTGTACTTCTGGGTTAACCCCTTTTGCCTATGCAACTGTCTTCCAGGAACACTCTCATGAAATATGTGTTCTTGTCCAAGATTTCCCTAGAGTTTATTTGCACCCAGAAACTGAAGGTATCACCATCATTTCTCATGAACATGAGATATCAAAAAGGAGCCCCCTTCCATCAGTAGTGGCCAAAGTCAGCATAACTGCCATTGGAATATGGGTAGCCTCACTAGGAGTGAGCCTATATACAACTGAACTTCTAGCTAGACAAACGGACTCGAGTCTACAGCAGCTTCACAATCCACTGATTCTCTGGCAGAGATGTCCCCACAAAACTGAAGAGGATTAGATCCGTTGCGGGCTAAACAAGAGGAAGTCTTCCTGGCTTTGGGAGAACAATGTTGTCTATATGCTAATAGGTCTGGTATTGTTGGCAGAATTTAGAGGAATTACAACAAAGGCTGTTAGAAAGAGAAAAATCTAGAAGAGGAGCCCAAGGGTGGATGGGTCAAAATTTCAAATTCTCACCATGGGTCACTAGCTTAATTGCTGCCCTGGCAGGAGCCCTTATGCTGATTTTATCAATAGTAATATAGGACACTGCATAGTCAACAGTTTGTCCTCCTATATGCATCAGCAAGTACAGGGCACAAACTGATGGTGCTATGTCACAGGGATATAAAATGGTACCAGTCCACCACACTGAGAAACGTTAGGAACTTTCCCAAGGAATTTGATAATGACATACATTCAGTGGGGAATGTTGTAATCTGTATAAACCCCCCTCATAAGTCTCCCAGAAGGCAAGAGAAAAATCAAAGATAATTCTGAAAGCAGAACAGGATGTTTTCCTAAACTAAACTTAATTGTTTGCAGGATAACTTGATTGTGTGCAGGATTAAATCGTTTCTTTGCAGTATGTGCCTTCCCCATAGGGTGTTTGGCTAATGTAAACTAGCTTGTTAGCTCAAAAAATGCCTGAACCTTGCTCTACCCAAGAAATGTAACCACTCTGTCTCTGTTATGTAGTGCACTATGAACACTGCCCTTGCATTGTGAGACCAACAGATGTTTGTGGTTTTACAGGATAAAAACCCTGCATTTTAGCTGTTAGGCACACAGTCTTCCATATTGGCTACTGAAAGTTGTGTCACCAGACCTGTGCATTAATAAATATTTTTTTAAATTTCTTTCCAAATGATTTCCAAATTATTTTGGTTCTGTGAGTTGGAAAGCTGCAGATTTGGATACCAACTGTGGATGCAATTCAGGAGGCTTGTAGTTGCCTGGCAACCACACTGGGCAGTGACTGGTTGAGCAGAATTGTGAACTAGACCCCAGAATTTAGGAGACCCGAGACAGAAAGTCAGGCATTGCCAAGGAGATCTTACTTGTACAGAAGAAATCGCAGGGCAAGATTTCAAAAGGGTAGTTTTCAGAGGCTTGGTATCCAACAGGACTTTCTCTCAAGGCTTCTTTGCTGAAAGTTGTAGATGGCATGCCTGCAAATCTGACCTTGGATACAGTGCCAACAGGACATAAGATATCCCTGGATCTGGCAGGGTATCTCTACAATGATCTTCCCTTGAGGATCTGTTTTCCATTTGAGATTAGCGACTTTCTTGCAAGGATAACGCTTTACCAAGCACTGCTTTTAGATCCTGACTCTGTTGTTTTCAAGTCCTCAGTGGCCCTGAATCCGGCCACACTGCTGCCCAATGAGGATCCCTCAACCCCATAACATGAATGCTCCACCTTGATTGACAGCTATCAGAGTCTTCAATTTGACCTGACCGACAAACCTCTAGAAGGGGAACCATCATTCTTCTCAGAAGGAAGAAGCTACATGTACCAAGGTACAAAAGTTTCAGCAATGGCTGTTACTTCTGAGACCCAAATTTTTGGGGCACAAATGCTGGACTCTGGCACTTCCGCTCAGGGAGCTGAACTCATTACTTTGACAAAAGCCTTGAAACTGGCTGAAGGTAAGCAGACTAACATCTATAACATTAGCAGATATGCTTTTGCCATTGCACATGAAAATTGGTCAGCTTATCAGCAGAGAGGACTATTGACTCCAGCAGGAGATAAAATAATAAGTGCCCCCCAAAATTAGACCTGTTTACAGGGATTTGCTTACCTGAGAAAGTGGCCATCATACTTTGCAAGGCCGACCAAAAAGGAGATGATCCCTTTATCAGGGGAAACAATTTGGCTGACATAGCATCCAAAGAAGTTGCCATAAAATCAGTGGAGTCTGAAGAAGGGGATAGAGAGGATGATCTGGCCCAAGGATCAATCTGTGGGGTATATACCTGGAGGGGGAATGGGGATACAGTAAAACAGGGTGGGTGACAAAGAGAGATTGAGACAAGGTGAGGAACCCAATCAAGTCTCATTTATTCAGGAAGTGGTTGCAGCTTTTATGGGCCAAGGGCAGGCTGGTAGGACAGGAAGAGACTATGATGTGGTTTCTGATACATCATCGTCACATCCAGGTATGTAACATAAGCAGGAGAGGATTATGGTAAATGTAGGCAGGTGCATCATGTACCCATAGGAGAGGGAGGCGGGAGGCAGCAATGGAGCTGTTGCGCCACTCCCTACAAGGGGAAACCACTCCTACCCTCTTGATGATGCCTGAAACATTATCAGAACCTGTGTATAAACAAAAGGAACTCTGTGTGGTCACCCATTCCAGCAAATCCTGACATTCCAAAATGCTAGTATCAGTTACCAGATAAGAGAATCATGTTGCCCAATGACCTCGGATGAGAACTCATTCAGCAAGTTCATCAGTCCACTCCTTTGGAAGAATTAAAATTAGCCAAGCACTTTCCACACCAATACTTTATACTATAGCTGTCCAAATTGACAGTGGCTGCCAGTTCAAGATGTCCTCAATGTCAAATCATTAAATCAAAATGATAGCTCCACATGGACAGGCATTATCTATTACTATTCAGGACATTCAGGATCAGATATATTCTTTAGTTGAAGTGGTCCTTCAAAATAGAAGAGGGCTAGACATGCTGAAAACCTGGTAAAAGAAGAAGAGTGGTATTTGAAAACTCACTTTGGAGTGTCTGGAATGAAATCCTGCCTTATCTTCTGCCCTTGCTTGGACTGTTGCTAAGATTGCTACCCTTTGTTTTAATAGGCCCCTGTGTAGTCAATAGGTTAGCTATCTTTATTAGGCAGCGAGTACAAAATGTGAGGCTGATGGTGTTATGCCACCAACGTTATCAAATGCTACCAGTTCAACAACAAGATTAGTTCTCAATCCTTCCAGAAAGATTTGGTGAAGAAGACATAAAATCAGTGGGGAATTTTGTAGCCTACAAAAAGATGCCTTTCTAATTTAAACTTGCTTGTTTGCAGGATAATTTGCTTATTTGCAGGATATGCCTTCCCCAGGGAATGTTTGCCTAATCTATATGTGCTTGTTAGCCCACCTCCACCTTATTCTTCCCAAGAAATATAACCACAGAATTTAATGATCTCTAGTGCACCACAAAATCCACTGCCCTGCATTTTGAGACAAACAGTTATTTGCAGTTTTACAGGATAAGAACCCTGCCATTTAGTTGTTAGGCACACAGTCTTCCATATGGGCTACTGCACGTTGAGTCATCAGGCCTGTGATGGAAGGTGGGACCAACTGTTAATAACTATCCTTTTAACTAGCCATTTTTGCTAATTATCTTTTAATCAATTATTTTAATTTTTCAGTATCTTAGTACATGAAACACAACAGAATAGGAATGCTCTAGACTTGTAACATGCTACATTCTGAGAAGTTCTAAGGATTTGGATGCACTAGATTTGGGGTGGTTTTATTCTGTGCTATTGTGTATTCCAATAAGATTAATTATGATCTCCTGCCTTGTGTTCCACTGGATAAGCCAGGAGAGTAGATATGTGACAACAAACATGAGAATTTCACTTCAAGACAATGATCAAATCATCATGATATTTTAATTTCCCTTTCATCCTCAAAGATTTTTATATCAGATAGGCTGGCTCTCCCTCTTTCCTATGTTCTTTTCTTGTAGCTTCTCAGTGTTATTCTTACATACTGCTCTGATTTTGAAGCATGGAGAAAATGTTGCTCTTCCCTTCTCAGTGTTCTACTGGGGAAGGCAAGCCAACTGACAGAGGGTCTGTTTTCCAGCAGGGTGAGAAAGGTAGAGATTTCCCTGATGCTATGTGCAGGTTGATTTAAAAAAGTAACAGAAATTCCTATCAAATTGTAGAGAAAAGCATTCCTAAAGAGAGATGGATGTTAAAAATCTCTAGATGATGTGAGTTTGCTTAAAACTCACTGGTATCTTGAGGAATTTTTGGCTTCTAACCTATCAAAGGACCTCTTATCTCCTCGGCAAGACACTCCTAAGACAATCCTGCCCCTTAAAACCTTTGTAATATTCTCTCCTCCATTAGAAAAAGAAAGGTGAAATGCACAGCTGTGTCCAATTCAGAGCATACAATTGCCCAGAAGGCTACTGTCAAAACTGTTCAAGTGGGAACACGTGCAGATGCTGCATTGTTCTGCCTAGGGCAATCACTTTGAGTCTCCCATACCCACATAGCTCTCTTCTGTGTCCCCATTAACTGAGGCCCCTACACTCATTCCTCATTCTGTCCATATGACATGTGAGGCCAGCAGATGTATGAGATTATATAGGATAAAAAGCCTGCCCTTAACTGTTAGGCACACAGTCTTCCATATTGTCTCTTGAATGCTGTGTCAGGAGGCATATGATTTAATAAATAATTTTTTCCAAATTTGTTTTGAAATTATTTCCAAATATATTTCATTGTGTGAGGTGAAAAGCTGCAGATTTAGGTCCCAATGAGGACACAAATCAGGAGGCTTGTGGTTGCCTTGCAACCACAGATGGTGGAGTTTGGCTGAGGAGCATTGTGAGCTAGTCCCCAGGTTATAGGATACATATTTGCAGGCGGAGACCTGAGTCATAATGTTGGGCATTGGCAAGGAGATCTTAGTTTTACAGAGGAACTTGCAGGGCAAGATTTCAAAAGGGTGGATTTTCAGATGCCTGTTATGCAACATAATTTTCTCTGAAGGTTTCATTTCTGATAGTTTGTAGATGGAAATTTCTGCAAATCCACCATCGATACAGTGCAAATGGGAATTGAGATATGCCTGAAGCTAGCAGGGGATCTCTGCAATGACCCTCCCTTGAGTATCTGTTTTCCACTAGAGATTTCCATTGTTTGGGTGAGTCGTCTTCCATAATGTCTTAAGTGAAGCTGTGTTGGCCTCATGACCATGCAGTAGAAGAACTGTCTGTGAAATTTCTCTGCAGCAAAATCACTGCAAGCAAATGGTATTGGAAATCAGAGACTTTGGATGAAGCTGAATTTCAAAGGCAGCAATCTGAAAACAATGAAACTACCCCTGAGCATGTTTAACAGTTGAATATGTGTGGGAATATTCAGGTGGATGGATGTCAGTACTCAGAACAGAAATAATCAATATTTAAGACAGGAAAGACCAAGGAAAGAACATGAGAGAGAGAGAGAGAGAGAGAGAGAGAGAGAGAGAGAGAGAGACAGAGAGAGAGAGAGAGACAGAGAGAGAGACAGACAGAGAGAGACAGAGAGAGACAGAGACACAGAGACACAGAGAGACAGATAAACTGATGTTAAAATATTTATTTCAGGATATTAGATCAGAGTATTGAACTAAAATTCTCATGTTTATTGTCACATGTGTAGTGTCCTGAATTAGCCAGTGGAGTACAATGCAGGAGATCAAGTAACCCTATTGGAAGACACAATAGCATAGAATAAAACCAACTTAAAACTAGTATATCCAAATCCTTAGGCAGCACTGTTGGTATTTGAAACCCTGTATTGGGGCCAGAGAAGAGTCTCAAGCCAGTGAGAGGTTACCACAGTGAACTTCTGGCCAAAGAGAAGCTTTTTAGTTTCAATTATTAACACCCCCCCTGCAGCTATGATCATTAAGCATGGTTGCCAACTGTTGGCTATCATGCCCAGGCTCTTGGATATATAGGCTATTGATGTCTGCCAGGGTCCCAGTTCCTGGGTAACTCCCTTCACCATCCCTCTCAATACATCCATATAAAATAAAAATGGTTTGTTTATGTTAGGGAATCCTAGTGCAGGGGCATCCACTATGGCCTGCCTCAATTGCTGGAAGGTGGTCTCTTGCATGTCTTTCCATTCCAGGAGGCTCTATGTTTGCCCATTTAAAGAGTCATACTCGGCTTGGCTATATCAGCAAAGTTTAAAATCCAGACCCTACAGTATCCAAGTGCACCATGAACCTCAGGGACTTGCATTTTGGTTTTTCATGCCAGTATCTGTAGTATTTGAAAGAGTTCTTTTTCTGCATTGTAATTGATTTCCAAGGGAAGTCACTGTCTGTTGAAATATCTGTGCCTTTTTTGCTGAAACATTATAGCACAAATCATATAATTATTTAACAGAGCCTAGGTTGCTTCCTTGAAGTCCTCAAAGGATTTAGCAGTCACTAATAGGTCATCAACATACTCCAAATATATGACCTCTGGGTGATCTCTCAATACTCCATCAGATCCCTAGCTAAGCCCTCATCAAATAAAGTGGGAGAATTTTAAAAACCTTGTGGTAAACCGTTACAAGTCAACTGTTCAGTAATTCCAGCCTCCTGATCAGTCGATTCAAAAGCAAAAATGGGTTGACTGACCAGAGCCACCTGGAGGGTGCATAAAGCATCTTTTAGGTCCAAGACTGAGTGACAGTCTTACTCTGGGATCAAAAGGCTCAGCAGGGTGTAGGGATTAGGAACAGTAGGATGCAGGGTAACCACTTGCCTTTTGACTTCCCCGAGGTCTTTCACTGGCTGCTAATCTTGCCTCCCAAGCTTCTGGACTGGGAGCAATGGGGTATTCCAGGGAGAGATGCAAGCTAAACGAATCATATTATCTTTTAATATAGTGATATGTTTTGCAATTCCTTGACTGGCATGTAAAATTATTGGATATTGTCTAAAGTGCATGGCAGACACTTGAGGCAACAACTCTATTACCAGAGAAACTGGATTTATCATCAGACCAGGGGGATTATTCTTGGCTCAGACTCCTGGTATTTCCACTTGCCAAGCCTGCAGTCTCTGAAGTGGGATCATCTCTCAGCAGGACATGATTCTCCCTTTCAGGAAGGAAGTCAAGAACCTTGATTTGTTTCCCAGCTGTTGTTACAAGAATCAGTTGTGGGGTCTCTGCTTGAAAACTCAATTGGACTTTTAACTTATGAAGAATGTCTCTTCCTAGCAGTGGACAAGGGAATTCTGGAACCTATAGAAATCCATGCACAGTGTTCTTTTAACCAGGGTGAATTTACTGGGACACTACCTTTGGCTATTATTTTTGCCCTCTGGTGGCACTTACTATGTTTATTTTGTTATCATCCGAGTCCCCAGTGGTTGAGTTAGAAGAGAATAAATTGTGCACATGTCCACCAGGAAATTTACTGTCCCCCCCCCCCGCCACTTGCAAGGTTATCTGGGAATCGAGGAGGGCATCTGAACCCTGATTCTCTCATTTTTGGCTCAACAAAATCTTGGCATACTTTTCCATTTGTCCCTTTAACTTGAGGAAGTCCTTTCACCAGTGTCCTATTTCTTTACAATACGCATATTGGTTCTTTTCAAGTGGGGGACGCTTTTTGTCTTTCTCATCAATATTTTCTTTCTGTTTCTGCTTTGTTTCTTTTTCACACAACAGCTCTAACACATTTGTGACCTTCTTATTGTTTGCCTCTTCCCAGCCCTATTTTCAAACACCCTATGTGCTATCTCTATTAACTTAATTAGGGGCATGCCATTGAATCCCTTCAATTTCTGTAATTTTTTGTATATCTGGGGCTGACTGAGATACAAACCCAAATTTAATAGTCCTTGATTCTCATGTGTGACCAGATCAATTGAAGTATAGTGTCTATAGACATCTAGAAGGCTCTCCAGGAATACACATGGTGACTCATCAGCCAAATGCTTACCTCTGATACTTTGAACTTATTTGTGTGCTTCTTCGCTGCCCCATGGAGTGCTGCTAGAAACAGTAGGTGATATTGTGTCAGAACCTCTCTCCCTCCAGATGTTTTGGGGTTCTAGTTGGGATGGGATAAAGAAAACAAGCACTCTAGGCATTCTGGATCAGCCATGGCAGTCTCTTCCAGGTCCAAGATGCCTTTTTGCCCTAGAACATGAAGGCGAGTTCATTCTTCAGAGGTGAAGAGGACTTTTAAAATCTGCTGACAGTTGTCACAGGTTGGACAATGGGTGGACAAAATAGATTCAATTAGACTAATAAGGTTTTCGGGATTCTTGGGGAATGGGGGGGTTTGGCCCTTCCAATTATACAGGTCAGAAGTGGCAAAAGGAGTATAGACAAAAATCAAGTACCCCAGTTCGTGTGGGTCAGGAACATCCTGAAGGGGGCAGAGTGTCAAATCCACCATGGTGGAGTCTGGTGAATTTGGCCGCAGGCGGCTTTGGGTCTGGATGGAGCTGGGAGGGTGGAGGGAGTTGTTGGGTGAGGGTTCACAAGGAAGGGGAAAATGGGGAGGGAGGAGTTCATCTTCCAGGGGACCCTGCACTGATGGTAAAACTGGTGTGGAGTGTTGGGAGTCAGGCGCAGTTTATTTTGGTTTCCTTTTCAATATTGCCACCACCTCCGCCCATGGGGAACAATGAATCCATGGTGGAGCATCATAGATGAGATGTATCCAAATTTGAATGTAAAAAGTTTGTTCTGGATGAAAAGGGGCACAAACATACCAGAGGACAGCCTTGGCATTGCCCATGTCAAAGGATCTGTTCTCAGACCAGGTGCTACATGTCATTATCAACCACACCTGAGAAGCAAAAACCATTAGTATTCCTTTGAAAACAGGCTGCCCGTAACCATCAGCCTGTCTCTTAGATTCTTTTAAGTGATCCAAGTCTAGACTAAGGGACTTAGGACAAATTTTCACCCCGGACTGGCCAAGTATTGCCAGCTCTTGTTCTCTGTGAGAGGAAGAAATCAAGAGAAAATGTCATCAAATACAAGAAAATATAGAAAATATTGAGAGAATCACAATATCTAGGATTTTCTTTGTCTTGGCTGAGGGTTGCCTGGGGTTTAAAAGAAAACTGTCAGCACATTCAGAGCAACCAAACGGATATCAGTTGGTCCAAGAGAACATGTGTCCTCTCATGCACAAGTGTCCTGGAATGGAAAGGTTAGAAAAAAAATCACAAGACAAGACTACACAAAGACATAAAACAAAAACAAAACCACCATTCCTGATAAAAATTAAAACAACTTTTTATGGCAAAATAAAAAATTTAGACTGGAGGCTTCCCTATAAATTCCAAAATCAAATTAAAGTGCAGCCCTACTGGGGTCCAATATCCAAATGAGTCTAGAGACTCCAAAACAAATGATCTAGGATTCCTAAGAAGGATCCAATCTCCTACAATCTGGGTCTTCCCTCCTAAACAAAATTAAGACTTTGTGGTACCACTTTTAACCAAATTGTATTTTCCAGTACTTACTCTTAGCAAATCAGTCCTCAGGAATTGAGTCAGTGGGCTGTTATTCCATCCTGGATGAGCCCCCAAAAGAGGTGGTCCACTTGCCGAGGTATGAGCGAGCCATAGAAAATAATTTGGAAAGAAAAAAAAAACATTAAAGCACAGGCCTGGTGAGGCAGCCTTCAGTAGTCATTATGGAAGACTGCATGCCTAACAGCTAAAGGCAGTTTTTGTCTTGTAAAAGCATAAACATCTGCTGGTCTCACAATACAGGGGGAGTTTTCATGGCACACTACAGTACAGGAACAAGGTGGTTACATTTCTCGGGTAGAACAATTTTCAGTTAAGGTTGGGTGTAACAAGCAAGTTTAGATTAGGCAAACATCCTCTAGGGAGGACACATCCTGCAAACAAGCAAGTTATCCTGCAAACAAGCAACATTAGAATGGGAATACATCCTGTTCAGTGCTTAGAGTTACCCTTGATTTTTCTCTCACCTTCTGGAGACTTATGAGGGAGGTTTATATAGCTGACAAGAGGTGGAGGAGAGAATATTACAATGTTTTTCAGGGGCAGGAGCATTTGATAGCTGGTCCAATTGATAGGTTAGAAGCCAAAAATTCGTCAAGAGCACATGGAGTTTGCAGCAAACTGACCCTACCTGAAGATTTTTCATGTCATCTCTCTTGGGGAAAGCTTTTCTCTAAACTTAGATAGGAATTTTTGTTACACTGGATGTCTATCTGCTTGTGGCATAAGTGAAATCTATCCTTTCCTCACCCTTCTGGAAAAAACACCATGTGTCAATTGGCTAGACTTACCCAGCAGAACAATAAGAAGAGTACAGCAACATTTTCTAAAGGCTTGAATTTAGAAGGACCCCCACTATAGAACACTTGGATTCTTCAGGAAAGTGTGCTGTCTCTTGAGAACAGCAAGTCTGGGAAAACCCCTAGATACTCAAAATCTTAGAAAAGCTGAAAGTAAGAAAATAGCTCTGGATCTCTCCACAGTGGAAAAGGTCAGCCTCTGAAGCAGAGATTTGTGGAAACAAGATTTACAAGGAAGTATTGAACACTACAAATTGAATTCAAATTTCCATTATACAGTTCAGAGAGACATTGGCTGCAGGCCTGATGATGTAATTGAATGAGCAACAGAAGAGCACAGTTCACAGTGATCCATAAACTTTGAAGGGAGAAAGAAATTTGTGAAGGAGCTCAGAGTCATCAGAAACAATATTTGGTGTCAAGGTGTTCAAAACTTCCCCTCACAAAAAAACACCTTCCCACAGAAATATTGACTGGAATAATAAATGATAAAACATTCCAAAGTTTTGATAAAAAGGTGTTTAGCCCAACACTGCACTTAGAAAAAAGTGTCAGATTTGGAAGCCTTTCAGGTTTTAATGGAATAAAAACTAATATCATGTATTATTTAATCTTGATTGATTCCTTTAGAGCTGTTGAAGAATTCCCCCATAAATGGGAGTGTGGACTTGTCTGTCTTGTAGAGCTAACTTTAGAAAGCCAGATGGAATTAGACAAACAGACCTATCAACAAAGTCCACAAAGTGAAAACCAAAGGATTTTACTGCTTTTCTAAAAATTCATTGTATTCATATTTAGGAAAGATTTTTATCATGAGCTCTGCAGTCCACTGATCCTCTATCTTAGGGACTGTTGAAACAATATTCCAAAGAACCTGGCAATAAATATTCTGATTTCTGGATCCATGACATAATAGAAATGTTCTAGGATTGATGCCTGGTACAGTCTCCAAAAGTGCTGTCTAAGGAATTGGATACTCTAAGTTTTTGCATAGTTTTATTCTGTGCTATTATGTCTTTCAGTTGGGTTACTTGAGGATCTCCTGCCTTGTGTTCCATTGGCCAAGGCAGGAGACAACACATGTGACAACAAACATGAGAGTTTCACTTCAATATACTGATCAAATAATCATGAAATTTTAATTTCCTGTTTGTCCCCCAAGTTTTCTACATCAGATTGACTGGCTCTTTGTCTTTTATTGGTCTTACTTCTTTTGCATGTTGATTAGTTCTGTTCTGAGTACTGCTATCCAACTGCCTGCATATTCCCAACCTTATTCACCTATTAATCATACTGAAGACATGCTAAGGAGTAGTTTCATTGCTTTATGATGAATTCCATTGAAGTTCATCTTCATTCCCAGTAGCTGAATACAAATCCCATGTGCTTGTAATGGCTTTGCTCTTGAGAAATTTCATAGTCAGTTCTTTTACTGTGTGGGATTGAGGCCAGTAAAGATGCACTGAAGAGGTTAGGGAAGAGAACTCAGACAAATGACAGACATGTCAGTGGAAAACAGATCCTCAAAGGAAGATCATTGCAGAAATCCTCTGCCAGGGCCTGCGACATCTCAGGTCCTATTGGCACAGTATCCATGGGCAGATTTGCAGGCATTTCCAACTACAAATGTTCAGCAAAGAAGTCTGCAGAGAAAATACTGTTGGATACCATGCCTCTGAAAATCTAACATTTTGAAATATTTCCCTGAAAGTTTCTCTGTGCAACTGAGATCCCCATGGCAATGCCCAGAACTATGACTCAGATCTTCTTCTGCAAATATGACTCCTAGCTCCTGGGGTCTAGCTCACAATGCTGCTCAGTTAGTCACCACCCAGTGGTTGCCTGGAAACCACAAGCCTCTGATTTGTGTCCACTCTTGGAACCCAAATTTGCAGCTTTCCACCCCACATAACCACAGTCATTCCATACATGCAAGATTTTGCTCCCTAGGTTGTGTCCAAATTTTCTTTTCAGTTGTCCTGATCAAGAGGGCTTGACATATTTTGTGCAGTGGAGCAAAATTATAGGAGGCTTTATTGCTCTGTCCTGATGTCTAAGGGCCACAAACCTAAATCCCACAGTCCAGTGATTTTTTATTTTTCAAACTGCTGCAGAGCAAAATTTTCAAGAGGAAGGATGGAAATCACACATTGACAGGGCTTTGGCTGATTTTTTCAGGGTTTAGACTGTAAGCTTGAAATCCCTACACACTGTCTGTTCTGGACTATTGCCTCCATGGTAGTATCAGTTGGTCCTGAAAGCCAGCAACCACTGGAGAAGTCCCTAAGCAAAGGAGAACCCTGGGACTGCATGAATATTTGGTGTCCCTGCTTCATTTTTCCTGGTTTCCTGTGGCTTATATTTCATAGAGCTCCATTAGCAGAGGTGTGCAGCTATGTCAATACAACACCGCACACACCAACCATGAGGTCCTGACTTAATATATAAGCCACCCAAATCCTAGAAAACACATGATCAGCAGGTTTTTTCTAACTTCAAATGTATCTGCGTGAAAGAGAAAAACTTTAAAATGGGATCCAAATACCCCCTTTTCTCAATACCCCAGATATGTCTGCAAGATATTCAACATTTTGTCTCCACAATTAATGAAGTGATCTCAATGGATGTGCCAAGATATTCTTAGAAATAATGTGAAATGACTCAACTGATAAATCAGCATTGTGAACTTCAGGTTTTAGTCATTGCCCCTACTTTATCTTGGTTGCCCTTGCCCAAGGCTCTCCACTTCTCTTGGGATGAGATACAAGGCACCGAGACAAGAGTTTGGCTGTGATTCCTAGTGTGTATCATGGGATGAACAGGACCCAGGTGAACAAGGTGCAAGGACACAGTGTCATATGGACAGGATGAGATAAGACTGCATGAGCCTGAGTTAATGGGGACGTACAAGGGAACTGAGTGGGTATGACAGATACAAAGCATCATGCAACATCTGCAGGCTGCAGCATCTGCACCTGCAACAACTTGAACAGTTTTGACAGTGGCTTGCTGGGGAATTCTATGCTCTGAATTGGACTCAGCTGTTTCTGCTTTAATGTGCTAATGGAGGAAAGAGCATTAATTTTTTTTTTTTTTTTTTTAGGGGCAAGAGTGTCTGACCTTGGAGATAGGTGGACCCTTTGACAGGTTAGAAGCCAAGAATTCCTCAAGAGCTCATGGAGTTTGAATTAAACTGACCTGGCCTTTAAATTTTTCATGTCCAAATCTTTTTGGAAAGCTTTTTCTCTACCATTAGGTAGGAATTTGTGTTACTTTGTGAGGTAAACCTGCACATGGCAAAAGGTAATTCTATCCTTTCCTCACCCTGCTTGAAACTACACCCTCTGCCAGTTGGCTAGCCTTACCCAATAGAACACAGAGAAAGAGACAGCAACATTTTCTAACTGCTTGAATTTCAGAGGACCCCCGCTTTAGTACCACTGTGAAACTTCAAGGGAAGTGTGGTGTCTGTGGACATCAGCAAGGCTGGGCAAACCCCTAGTTACTCAAAACCTTAGAAAAACAGAAAATGAGGAAAAGGCAATGGCTCTCTCCACAATGGAATATGGTGGCATCCAACACATAATTGGGGAAACAGGAAGTACATGGGAGAAATGAACATCCCCAGTGGAGTTGAAATTTCTATTTTCCACCTCAGAGAGATATTGGCTGCAGGCCTAAAGATGTGATTCAATGAGCAACAGGTTACCACAGATCACAGGGAACCAAAAACTTTGTAGGGAGAAAGATATTTGACCAGGATCTCAGAGTAGTCAGAGAATATATTTAGTGTCAAGGTGATCAAAACTTCCCTTCACAAGAAAGCACCTTCCTGCAGGACGTTTGACTGGAAAGATAAAAGCTAAAACATTTTGAAGTTTTGAAAAAAAAGGTGTTTAGTTCAACTCTGTGCTTATTCAAAAAGTATCAGCTTCTTGCGTTTTTTCACATTTTAATGGAAGAAAAACTATTATCAGTAATTATATCACCAGTAATTATATATTGATTCCTTCAGAGCTTTAGGAGAATAACCCCCAAAATTGGAGTGTGGACTTGTTTGCCTTACAATGATAAAGTTAGAAAAAAAGAAACAAATGGAAAATTCAACCAACCAACAAAGTCTAGACAGTGAAAACACAAGGGCTTCCCAGGTTTTCCCAAAACACATGATATTACTATCTAGAAAAGTTTTTATTCTGAGCTCTGCCATTACCAGAACCTATTTCTTAGGGATTGTCAAAATAATATTCCAAAGAAGATGTCAACTAACATTCTGACTTTTAGATTCAAGACACAATAAAAAGGCTCTAGGCTTGATACCTGGTACAATACCCCAAAGTGCTTTTGTGAGGAAATCGATACTCTAACAACTGAGTGCTCTGTATTGGACCCAGTTGTGCATTTCTGCTTTCCATTTCTCATGGAGGAGAGAACATTACAATGTTTTTCAGTGGCAGGAGTGTCTTACCTAGGAGATATGTGGACCCCTTGACAGCTTAGAAGTGAAAAATTCTACAAGAGCCCATGGAGTTTGAAGGAAACGGACACAACCTTGGTATTGTTCATGTCCATCTCTCTTTGGGAAAGATTTTCTCAATTTTTTCATTGGAAATTCTGTACTATGTGAAGTCTGCCTGCAAATGGCATCAAGGAAATCTCTACTTTCCACATCCTTCTTGAAACAACTTCCTGTGTCATTTGCCTTACCTTAGCCACTAAAACACTGAGAAAGGAACAGAAACGTTTTCTCACTGCTCCAAATTCAGAGGACCCATGTAGGAGAAGCAATGAAAAAATTAAGGGAAAGTATGCTGTCTCTTGACTACAGCAAGGGATTTGATCACCTCTGAAGCAGATCTTTGGAGAAACAAGGGAGGAATGAACACACCAAATGGAGTGGAACTTTCCATTGTCTAGACCAGAGAGACATTGGCTCCATGCCTGAAGATGTGATTAAATGAGCAACAGATTAGCCCAGACCACAGGAAACCAAAAATATTGTAGGGACAGAGGTATTGCCCAAGAGCTCAAAATAGTGACAAACAGTATTTGCTGTCAAGGTGTTCAAAACATTGCCTGAAAACATAGCACCTACCCGCAGGATCATTGACTAGAAAAATAAAAGAAAAAACATTTCAAAGGTTTGATAAAAAGTTGTTCAGCTCCACACCGTGCTCAGGTAAAAAGTGTCAACATTTGGCTGCCTTTCAGAATTTAATGGGTAAAAAACATTTTTCACGTATAATATCAACTTAATTGACTCCTTCATTGCTGCAGGAGAAAGGCCAAAATAATTAGAATGTGGACTTGTCTGTCTCACAAAGTTAAAGTTAGAAAATCAGAAGCAATTAGAAATCACACCAAGAAACTAATTCCAAAAAGTAAAAACCAAATATTTCATGGTTTTCAAAAAAAAAAAAAAACTGGTATGAATATTTAGGAGATATTTTTATTCTGAACACTGCAAACCCAAGACAATCTGTCTTAAGAAATTTCAAAACAGCATCCCAAAGAACATGTCAAGTAACATTCTGATTTGTGGAACCATGACAAAATAGGAATGTTCTAGTCTTGACACCTGATGCAAATACCAAAACTGCTGTCTATGCATTTGAATACACTCGTTTTGGGTGGCTTTATTCTGTACTATTGTGTCTTCCAATAGTGTTACTTGATGGTCTTCTGCCTTGTTTTCCACTGGCCAACTCAGCAGAGTACACATGTGACAACAAATATGAGAAATTCAATACCCTGATCAAATCATCATGAAATTTCAATTTTCCCTACATCCCCTAAGATTTTTACATCAGATTGAAAGACTCTCCCTCTTTCCTGTGTTGTTTCCTTGGCCTTTCCTCTTTTTCCTTTTTGATTAGTTTTGTTGTGCACCTTGATGTACAATCTCCTGTATATTCCCATGCATATTCACCTGTTAAACATGCTGACAAAATGCTGAGGGGTAGTTTTGGATGGTTGCTTTGAAATTAATCTTCATCCACAGTGTCTGATTTCAAGTACCATTAGCTTGCAACAGTTTTGCGGCTGAGAAATTTCAAAGTCAGTTGTTTTATTGCATGGCCAAGAAACCAAAAACCTTCAATGAAGACATTATGGAAGAGGACTCAGCCAAATGACAGACATCTCAAGTGAAAAGAAATCTTAAGGGAAGGTCAATGCAGAGATTCCCTGCCATGTCCTGGCATATCTAATGTCCCACTGGCACTGTATTCATGAACAGATTGGCTGGCAATTCCATCAACAAACTTTAAGCAATGAAGCCTTCAGAGTAAATCCTAATGGATAGCACACCTCTGAAAACACACCCTTTTGAAATCTTGCCCTGCAAGTTCCTCTGTGCAGCTAAGATCTCCATCACAATGCCCAGCATTC